TGAAGAATTTTGTGTGGTATGGTAAGTTTCCCACATGCAAAAGCATATTGGTTTTGAATATTATAATGGTGCCTGCCTGCCCACCCAGTCCCATAAGACTCCTGCAAAGAATTTTGCTGGCTACAGTTCCACTCACTGTATGCAATCCTGCCCACACTTACCTCGGAGTAAGTCCCATTGACTATAGTGGAATTTACTTCTGAGAAATGAGAAATGGAATTGTGCAGACAGAATTAGCGTTCTCAGGAGAGAAATGCCATTTTAGTCATGGGACGTACTGAAAAAGATCAGCCATTTTGTTATCTTGCACGGACCTAAGCCTCAGAAAGGCCTTCTCCCTTCATTTTTTTAAAAAACTAGCTTTTTGAACAATATAAATAAAAAGGTCATCTCCCCTTCCTCTGTCTTTCTTTTGTAAACCACATGGATTTGTCACCTAAGTGAAAGAGCCTGGGAGAGGGGAACACCCTTTTCCTGTGGCTGAGCTCAGAATTATGAAATACCAACATGTTCAACCCAAACCCCTCAGTAACTTAAATTATTTGAACTCGCTGCATTCCATGGCAGTTTGTTCCACCCACTAATTCTCACCACCTTGTCCCTGAATGCATTACTTAAGCACTCAGAAATCACTTCAAGTTATGTCACAACCTCAGCATTCGGGTATCACGGCCTTCCCAATTAGCACGCTGACCCATATTGGCAAGTCTTTGTGGAATGATATATTCATAACAGGAACACTGTGAAGCATCAAACAGCCAAGGAAACATGAATTATTGCTCTGGTCATATTGCATTCCCACCCACTCTTCTCCCCAGATATCTCACCCTGCTGTAAGAATTTAATATTCCCATTTTGATGCACTATGGGGGACACATTCCTCATAATGGAACTCACCAGCAAACAATGTAAATATGAAAACCGGTGGGGGGGGAGGAGGTGTTGCTTGATGGTGGGTGATGGCAATACATATTTGACAGAAGCGAGTGATTCCCGGCACTTAGAAGAATTGATTGTAACCTATTTAGCAGTCTGGAGAAAGAGTACTTAGTTGCTTCTCTCTCACTTTTTCTCTCTCTCTCCTGAGCTTTCAGCCAACTCTGCTTGGATTAAGACAGGCTACTTAATCTTTAAAATATGTGTTTCCATAACAAAGGACAGATCATGCATAAATTCTTCATATGGCCGTGCAAGCCAGAGATGGAGAGCAGGGCCTATTGGAAACACACACACACCCAGGGTGCTGTGTGTGCTAACATTGTTTTGTTCTTTCTGAAAAGCAGCCTGTTGACAGGGCTGCCACAAAAAGCTACCCAATTAACCACTTCTGGCCTGGGAAGAACGAACAGCAGTGTTATTTCTCCTTCCTTCCTTCCTTCCTTCCTTCCTTCCTTCCTTCCTTCCTTCCTTCCTTCCTTCCGCCTTTAGTCATGGCTGGGAAGCAGTAGTAGTCCTGGGCGGTGCAGGGGAGAATGAGTGGAGAAAGAGTGGGCTAAAAATAAAAATGAAAAGGGTATTTTGCCTTCTGTTTAGGGTTGTTCGAATCTCTGTTTGCTAATGCCATCCAAAATGCAGATCTAGTGATTGTATGCTTCTGAGGGATAGTCTAACCATAGGAAGCAAATGATTTATGTTAATAATTCTGCGCCATCAGAGTTACACTTTGAACTGGATTAGTCCCCTGGCTGAAAGATTAACCACTTCCTGTTCTGAAGAGAAATAAATGAGGCTATGCTAGAATTTAGATGAGAATCCTCATTGCTCTACTTTCAGAGTGGGAAGAGGCAAAGGAGTCATACATGAAAGGGATAGAAAGGTGAGAAGTATGGGGGGGGGAGGACAGAAGAGTCACAGGGAGCACCAGGGTCATCTAGTCCAACCGCCTGCAAGGCAGGAAGCTTTCACCCAATATGAGGCTCGAACCCACAACTCTCATATTAAGAGTCTCATGCTCTACCAAGCTGAGCTGAAGAGCACTTTGTTCCAGAGTAAATGGGTAAGGATACAGCAGCTTTTTGTCTCTTTCACTGCTCTAGAACCGGGCTTGACTGGATACCCCGAGTGGCCATAGTACATTAAAAGGAACTAACAACACAATTTAGATCTAGGTTTTTCTCCTAGTGGAATTTTAGAAGCTATTGCTCATGGGCTCAGAGGCACTGTTCAGTGCAGGAGCCTCAGGTTCAGGTAGGAAAGACATTCATCTTTTCACCTGCCAATGACATGTGGCTATCTTTTGCTCATAGTGAACTTTTGAAGCAGGACAATGTGATGAAATGTCTCGTCCAGCACAGACCGTAAGACTTGTTATTTATCCTTAACTATTTTAAATTGCTTATGGCATGCCAGGCCAAAATTCTTACTTACATTCTAAGGAACTTAGTTCTTACATTCTAAGGGAACGTTGCAGGTATTTTTTACTTTGCTTTCTTCTCATTATAAAGAACTCTCAAGTGCAGGCAGCAAAATTAAGAAATGAGGCCACACCCTAATGATTCCCCCCACCCATATTGTTTTACTGGAAAATGACAGTCTTATTTAAAACATTTTTAATTATTATTTTTGCTTACAAATGGTGTGGTGCTTAATATCTCTTGGGGTACATTTGACCACAAAGCCAGACTGAGGCAGGATTTTTTTTCCATGCTGATTTTCACAATTTCTTCTATTAAAAATATTACTTTTATTATGCTGTTATTCTAATAAATAAATTTGTGTAATACATTATTTATTCCTATGTTTTTTGTCACTTCGTGGGAAAGTAAAATCTTATGCTTTATCAGTTAGGTACATCCAAAGCATGCATAGCACAAAACTGCGTACCAACCATTCATCAATCATTATCAAATGTTTATTCACCCGTTTGATCTGACATAATCTCATTTCCATGTATTAAAAATCATGTAATGTACTGCATTGGCATAACTTAAATACACTTTTCCTGATCAATCTCAAAATTAAGTCAACCGTGCTCAGTCACAACACAATTTTTGATCCTCAGAATCAATTAAATAACAAGGGAGTTGGATCAATATATTATTGAGTCCTTCCAGTAATTATTGAGCTCTGCTGTGCAATAATATACAGACAGAAAAATAACACTAGCTGATAATTGTGGAAATATTTGCTTAGCCAGCAAATATTCATTGACCAACATGGCTAATGTTGATAATCTTTAAATCACTTTTATCTGCATGCAAAAATAAGGGCAGTGAGAGCACAGGCCAGAGTCACATGTCATTACAGACTTCCATTCTTTGCCTGTGACCGGGTGGGGAAATTCCCCAAATATCGTATTTTTCGCTCTATAGGACGCACCAGACGATAAGACGCAACTAGTTTGGGGGGGAGGAAACAGGAAGAAAAAAATTCTGAACCCCAGAAGCCAGAACAGCAAGAGGGATCTGGCATCCGGGATAGCCTCTTGCTGTTCTGGCTTCGGGGACAGCCTTTGAAGCCTCCGCAGAGCAGTAGGGTGAAGGCATCCCACTGCCCCGCGGAGGCTTTGCGCAGCCATCCCCAAGCTCCCCAAGCTAGAACAGCAAGACGGAGCACTGCGCAGCGCTCTGTCTCCCTGTTCTGGCTTTGGGCTTAGCCGTGCAGCCTCCATTCGCTCCATAAGACGCACACACTTTTCCCCTTACTTTTTAGAAGGAAAAAAAGTGTGTCTTATAGAGCGAAAAATACGGTAATAAGTCCTTTGACACACAAGGCTCTGGATTGTTAAGAGGCTGGATTATTATTATTTTTAATGCTTTCATCTGTCTCTGGGTAATTTGATTAGACACATATTATCAACTGATAGATTAATTTCAACTGGATTTTTCTCCGCATAACTCTCCACTGTGAATTTTTCCCCCCATATGAAATTCGTGGGCAGAAAACTTCATAGTGGCGCTATGTCAAGCAAACATGTTTGATTTCTGTATCCAATGACAGAATTAGCAACTGATGCGCACAGATACCAAGGATCTTACTGTACCATTATCTGACATGTGATAATATAGCACTGTGGTTTTCAAATTCTCTGGGAACATTTTCTACCTTGTCCTGTCTGACAAAAACGCATTGCGTACAAAACTTTGGTACATTACAAAAGCGTCTAGGCCAGATTTAAGGGATTCAGGAGTTCATCAGCCCCCAACAATCCTTTGTAGTGTGCAATTCGTAAAAGATGAGTAGTGGTTGGCCAGCTATCTCCCAGGAGAGCCTGTCTGTTATTATTGATCTTCAGGTTCCCCTTATTCCCTTCCTTACCTGCAAAACAGGATTGAAAACCACTTGATGGCTGCAATCATATTTAACATTTGACAGCCTTTGAATGCAGCGGCATTTTTAATCTTACAGGGTTAACTATGAGATAATGTTCAATGGTAATTCGTATTTAACAGTTGTCCATTTACAAATCATATTTGACATTTCTCAGTGTCAAAAAAGCCAAAAAATCTCTGGTATTTATATTCAACTTCTGAAGATAAGAAATTTCAGACTTGAAAATGTCATACTACTATGAATGGCATAAGTGAAAGGGAAAAAGGCAAATTTAAAATACTTACAAATATTAATTTCACTTAGTGGATGCAGATTTTTTAAATAAGGTCTCATCATCTGCAAAAAAGGGACGATCTTTGTGCTTAAAGATGGAAAATGCTATTTGCTTCTAGATACAATTTATTTTCTTACTCCCTAACGTATAAAGTAGATTACACGTACATACCGAATTAAAATTTATTTTCCTCCCTATATTTCAAGGAAAGGAGACCTGTACAGAGGATAAATAGTTCTCAATAGCCAGACCAAAAATTACAGATAAAGTCAGAGAGGAAGTAGATCATTTGACTCTCTATTCAAAATTTAGTTGCTGAGTAGTAAAAATACAAGAATTCCAAAATAAAGTGGCATTAATTTGTGTTCCCTTTTTAAGATGCTGCATTTTATTGCTATTAGTAATTTTGTGCAAGCCACTTTATTATTTTATTTTTAAAAGAGCAACCCATAAATGAAATGAAATAATATTTATGCACACCTGGTATAACATGAGGCAATTTCAACAGTTAATATATATTAACCAAGAGACGTAAAATGTATCTACATAAAAATGTACACCTCTTTGTTAATAAGCATGTACGAAATTCTTCTGTGTGGACCTCTTGCGAGTACATGCAAGTTTTAACTGCACATGTAAACTAGCAAATAGACATTTCAGTGAGTCCTTTTCTCTTGTGTTTGGAATTCAGAAATGCAAAACTATGTTCTGAGAAAGAGCTGCTCTGAAACAGGTAAAGATGCCTCCCAAAGTTACAGAGAAAAACAATCTTGCGGCCCGTGCACACCCTTAATAAATAAATAGTGTTATGGTGCTTGTAGTAATTTAATTGTGAGCTAGAAAACTGAGATTTTTCAAGCGACCCACATCATCGCCACTGCCTTGACTATTATATCATACCTCACTCTTGCAAGCTATACTTTGAAACAATGTGCTTATCAGATTGACCTGAGCATCAGATTTCCTCTTCCTATACTTAATGTCTGGGACTGTTCCACAATATGATATTATTTAATTATCCGTATTTGGTTCCATGCGCTGCTCAGAACGATCGGTTTGGCTTTTGGAAAACTTAACTTTGAGTGTGTGTGTTTTTATACAATTTATGGCCCATGGCTAACTTGGCTACCTAATAAAGGCTTGGACTTTAGTCTTGTTTCATACTTCTAGAGCATGGTTCTTGTGACTGCCATGCACTGATGTTTCTTAAATGCCACCTCCATGCTGTTACAAGCAATTTAATCTCCACGTCATGAACACTGCAGTAAGGTAATTGCTAGGCATAGCCCACAGCACATCCACAAATGCAGTAGATGCCGTATAAATGCATTGTTCAACCATCCACAAACAATTTAAACCAAAGCACTCATTTATGTTGATGGAATTACAGGCCAAGGAGTCCACATTTACCAATTTGCAAAGCTGTCCTGTAGTGTCTCTACTTTCCCAAGTATGTGGAGTTCTGAGAGACATTTTGGTATCTCACATTCTTCTAGTACAAGGCTATCCAACAATGGTGATCTTCTGGTGTCATAGACTACAACTCCCATCATCCCTTACCACTGGCTGTGCTGGCTGGAGCTGATGGGAGTCATAATCCAGCAACATCTGAAAGGCACCGTTTTGCTACCTCTGTTCCAGTAGTAAACAATATCAGCCAAAGAAGCCATAATAAAACGAGAACTGAATATCACAAAATATTTTTCTACCTTTCTTTAAAGAGATAAAACTTTCCATATGACTCTTGTGCCCAAGAAGATGCGGAGATTATCTCTGCTGTAACAAATATCCCAGGTGTCCGAACCTTTAAGTCTGCACAAAGAACTCCCAACTGGAGGAAGAAATTAGCTAGAACTGGTACAGAAGTGCATTCATTACACAGAAAACATGGTTTACAAAGTATTTTACACTGCAAAAAATTACTGTGGCATAAACCCAAAAATGATGCAATATTTGCATAGAGAAGTAATAAATATTAACAACTTTGCTGTGCATTAGGAAGGATAAAAAAAATCCTATTGATAAAAATACTGAAGCTCATTTCCAATTATCTTTCATGACCGAGTGATGTGCCTATGGTTCAACTTTTACATGTCATGAGCCTGAAAAAAACTGTGATAAAATCTCCAGGATGTAGTCAATTGCAGATTTTACCACTGTGGAAACAGTGGCCCAGTTTGCATGGTTTAGCATTACATAAATAAACTCATGCACTCTCCTCTCTTCCTCCTGCATAGCCAAGATGAGGGCTTGGGCAGTGTTTAGTTCTGCTTACATAAAAGTCCTTGCTTGCAGTTGCATATGAATCAGAGGTCATGGTTTGTTTTTTTCAAAAGCAACTTCTGGTTAATGTAAAAGCCAGGTTGCTTTAAAACTGACCACAGTTACTTGTAAATCATGATCTCTGGTTCATGCAAACTGGGATTCTGTAAGAGAAGCATCACCCAAGTCATATTCTTGCTCATTCCAGCCTGCGCATGCAGTGTTAAACCAAAGTTTAGCATTACATGCAAATGCAGTCAATGAGAAGAAATATTCACCATGTAAAAATGACTGTCAGAAGTCACATCATGGCAATTTCATCACCTCAAAAATGAACGTGAGAATTTAGGTTGGATAAAACTTAGTAAACGAAGCCAGTTTTACAATGCTGAGAGTCAACTGAAGCACAGCTTTAAATCTACTTTGTCTATCTACAAAAATAGGCAAAAGCAATACATTTCTTCATAAAATTATACATTTCCTGAAAATACTTTAGCATAATCCATTAACAAATAAGTGCTAAACTTAGGAGAGAAAAACATGTCTAGCACACAGTTGTTCTGAACACAACGTTTTTGCATTTGTCTTAATACTGTATTTATAAATATGCTTGCTATTTTTCTACATCACCCTATCGAGTTGGTGGCATGCCTCCATGCTTCCCATTCCTTGTCAACACAAACCATTTCACACCTATGCATGCACCAACCAAGCAGTTATAAGTACCTTGGTTGCTACTTATATGTAATTCTGTAGGATCAAACCTCTTGGTGACTTCCTCCCCACCCTCCCCTCCCACAAACTATATCACAGCACTCACATTTTGACTCAAGGCTGATCACGCAGTAGAGTTTCTCTCCCCCCATCAGTTTACATGCAAAGGGGAACAGGGAAAACAACTAGGTGATGATGGCTCCTGAGGAAACTACCATGGAAGGGAAGAATTGGAAACTCACCATGGGAATAAACGTCCCCATGACAAGAGTAGCATTTAGCCCAAGCCCATCTGCAGGTGCATAGCATTTCCAAACTCTAACGTTGCATTCGCTCCCCCTGTCAGCATTTTCCTTTGGTTCTGCCCTGGATATGATTCCATCTTATTTAAATCTCATTTTAACAAAACAAAACAAAACAAAAATGAAGTACTGTACAAAATCCACATCTATTAGTCCAGTAAAGTTCCCTTGAAAGCCTGTCCTCTGGGATCAGCCTAGTTAAACATGATGGATTCAGGGTCCTGATTAGCCATTTGAGCCATATGCCTTAACACGTCCTTTTTTGTTATGATGCCCAGAAGCCTCCTAGAGAAGTAGAGAAGGAAAGAAACAGAAAAGGTCATTAATCATGAGTCTGTCTCATCTGCTTCTCACATTCTGCTGCAGGCAGAACTTCACTACAAAGAAACAGAGCAATTTTTTAAAAACCAGAAAATTGGAATATTAAAATTTTTTGTTTCCCACTAATGAATACACAGATTGTTCAAGAAAACTCACAATACAATACAATACAATACAATACAAAATACACATAACCATACTTTTACTTTGGGTTTTTCCCACCACCACATTTAGCAAAATGATAAATCTGCCGTATTTCCTCTAGCTGCATTCCTGAATGTATGCTAGGTAAGGCTGATCCTTGGGCAAGTAAGAACTTATGCCACTTGACATCATCTCTCAAACCTCTTTCTGGAATAGTTTCTGGCCTGTAGGCCACAGCAAGCTGAGCTCAGCCCAAGCCAGACCACAAGGAGATGGATGCATACAAGAATCTCAAATGACTTGCAGCCTAAGGCCTTTGAACTGTGACCTGAACCAAGTATCGATGGGCATCTTAAATGAAAGATTTCTTGAAGGCAACTGGATTTTATCCCCCACAACCCCCTGAAAAAAACTGATGCAATCTCTCAAGGATTATTCCATTTCACTGTTCATACACAACCATATACGAGTGTATTCATGTTTCAGCTGTAGGCTGCCATGTCAGTTGCAGAAATGTAAACAGTACAATAGCTTGTAGGCAATAACAAAACAGGAGAGTCATTCCATATAATCATTCAGAAACTTACTCCAACAGGAAAAATAGTTTAAATCAATGCTGATTTATAAACAGTTTACTGCTGGAAATAGCATTTCCTTGTAGGTTAACTGCCAAATTTCGAACATAGATCAAATTGTCAATTTTTAGACAACCTACCAATAATCGACAAAGGAAAGTTAAAGATTTCTAACTTTCTATTCAAGAAGACGGGGAAATGTAATAAGAAATATCTCCCACAAATATTGCGACGGATACAACGGTCAGCTTTCATACACAATGTCTGGGAAATGGCTCTCAAAAAAAATCACAGTGCCTTATTTAACAGGATACGGCAATAATAGCTCTCTGAATTTACTGACACATTTGGTCATATGCGCACCATATATTTAAAGCACATTATAGCAATTTAGCACGGGGAATTTTCCCCAAAGGATCCTGGGAACTGCAGTTTTTTGGGGTGGGTGGGTGTGTTTTAAATTTTGAGAGTATTTGACTTCCCCACCTGTCTGGAAAGCAGACAAGAGTTTGGTTCTTGATAAGTGAAGTTGACACACTAGCAGTTTTAAGGCAAAAATCCAGTGAATTCCTCAAGAACCAGAGAGTTTCCACTGTATCAGAAAAGTATGAGCTGTTGGGTTTAGAAGTCACTCTTCAATACCACCTTGCCTTCTACTTCAACTGTGAAATGAGCACTCAAAGCACCCAACCTTGAAAATGTTCTTTATAGCCAGGTACATCAGTTGTTCCACCACTGAAGCTTGGCCTGTGTCGTGACTTCAGACTGTTTAGAATCCAATTTGAGCTTCTGAGGGACATACTCTGCATTCCTCGCAAGGTCACGGTTTCACTCGAGTTAGCTTCTGTCTCTTATTTTTAATTCCTCACCTTCCTGTAGGCTCCTAAGTCATGTGCACTTTCCGTTCGTGGAAAAACAAACCTCCTGCTTAATTCCCTTCATTTGTCATTCAGTTCAGCATTTTCATAAGCACTTTAGGCGCAGTTAAATCTAGCTAGAAGCTCAACACACAAGCAAAACATTTGCTAACAATGACATTCTGCTGGCACTCCTCCCCAGCAGCAAAATATTTGGCAGTCATGCCGTCTATAGCCAGTTTAATTACATGCATTATGAATGCTGCTCTCGTCAGGAGAGAGAGGGGTACACAACTATGAGCTTAAAGGAAAAATATTTTCAAAGTGATAAAGAATCTTTGGTAACCTGTCAGGCCCAAATTTGTATATTACCAGCACCTGCCCTTGCCTGTTCTCCCTTCCAAGAACATGCAAGTGGAAACCTCCATGCTAATACCTGTTCACTTAGGAGGCCCCACTTAAAATGTTTTATCTCAGTCAAATAAAAGAAAAATGGAAGTTGCATTGGCACAGGAGTCCCAGTTCACGTTATCAGAAGTCTGTGGTGCAAAAGCTGGGATGTCCACCCATTTCTCTATCTCACAAGGGCTGCCGATGCTGAAAATATTATAGACTGGAAGGTCTCTTGCACTCTAGGGACTGGCAGAGATGACTGGCAGAATCCGAAACCAGGGAAGAGAGACAGCGGAAGAAGATTGGAAGAAATTCAAGGACTATCTTAAGAAATATTGTAAAATTAATGAATGTTAGAATGACGTTGGGTTAGAAAATATGTGGTTACCAGCGGTAATGGATAAGTAAAAAAGAAAAGAAAGGTTAAAAATTAAGTGAAAAACAAGGGAAGGATTTGCTGAATAATAAATTAGAAATTGGAATACAGAAAGGGGAGGTATGAGGAAGTCGGGGAAGTAAGTTATAAGAAAATAAGGGTTGAAATTATACTTGTTTTTTATTTTCTGTTTGTCTGTTTTACTGTACTGTTTTGTTTTGTTGTTATAAAAACTTTTGAAACTTTAATAAAAAAATTATATATATAAAAAAATGGAAGGTCTCTTGCACTCTGAATCTGGTTCTGGCTCCCAATATGTTTCTGAGTACAATTCAAAGTGTTGGTGCTGACCTTTAAAGCCCTAAACAGCCTCGGCCCAGTATACTGTACCTGAAGGAGTGTCTCCACCCCCATCGTTCAGCCCAGACACAGAGGTCCAGCTTCGAAGGCCTTCTGGCAGTTCCCTCCCTGCAAGAAGTGAGGTTACAGGGAACCAGGTAGAGGCCGTTCTCGGTAGTGGCGCCTGCCCTGTGGAACGCCTTCCCAGCAGATGTCAAGGCAATAAACAACTATCTGACTTTAAGAAGACATCTGAGGGCAGACCTGTTTAGGGAATTTTTTAATGTTTGATGCTTTATTGTGTTTTTAATATTCTGTTGGGATTCATCCAGAGTGGCTGGGGAGGTCCAGCCAGATGGGCGGGGTATAATTTATCATTATCATCATCATCATCATTATGTTCATCTTCCATATGGATTAATTAACTGTTCCATAATTATTATTTTTTACGAAGTATCATTGTATTACAATTATAGCAGGTCACAGGTTGTTCTTGTTTTCATTCCCAAATAAATGTATTCACCTCTGCATCCCTCCATATCCCCAACCTTTGTTTCTAGAAGTAGGTTCGGAAACAAGTGACATTTGTTTCAGACAGTTGCTCCTGATTTTCCTTCAGCTTCGTAGCCTGAAGACTCACCCAGGCCATCCATAATTTTTCAGAAACAAACAATAATTTTCTAGTCATAAATAGTAACGATCAAGCAAGGTTGTCTAAAGTAGTTTTCTGCTACATTATATTTATGTGGACAGCCTACGAAAATCTAACGTATCTAATGAGCAGGGCAAAATAGCTCCGACTTATTATGTCAGCATCTTAGTTACAGACCCTTTTTTGCCTGCTCAGTTACATATATCCAGCCACTTACCCACTGCGTGTGACAAGACACTGCCTGAGTCCAAGCTTCCGGAAAATGTCTACCACTGTTTCCATGGGCGTGTGGTCTGTGACAGTAAAGGGGCTCAGATTGAGAATACGCCGGAGCTTCAGGGGGTGAGGGCTGTTTGCCGGCACTTCCGGGGGCTCTTCAGTGAAATAGATAATGGAATTGCTGACTACACCATCCTGCCGCTGCCTTGCGTTTTCTGCATAACAGATAGATAAGGGAAAATACACTTAAAATGAATGCAACATCCATTCTCACTTACAGATTTGGGCAGACCATTGTTTGCCATGATGTTCAAACTGAGCAAATGATAGTTCTAAAACAGAACTGAAAACCCATTTCAAACTATGGCTTCCTGTTCTAACTATATCCTGTTCAAACTATGTTCCTGTTCAAACTATATCCCCCAATTTAGGTAAAACAGCAATCTAAAGTTTACCTGAAAAAGGAAGTAAGGCGACGGGGAGGAATCAGAATGCATGGAGGTTGGATCTATTTAAATCATGACTCTTTAATACCGATTTTTTTAAAGTATACAGGACCTAAAGTGTGGCAACAGTTCTTATTTGACTTTCAAAAATAGTTCTCTTAAACCAGGCATGTCCAAAGTCCAACTTGGGGCCTAATCCCGCCTGCCGGTCGTTTTAATCTGGGGTAAAATCATAAAACAAACTCAACAACTTCAATCCTAAAAAAAGGTCAACAACTTTGGTCGGCCCTCATGGCCCTTCACTTCATCAAATGAAGCCCTCTTTGAAAACCACAGTCTTGAACACCACAGTCTTAAACAAATGGCATCCCTAAGTACCTATATTGCAGTATATATTACAGTGGTGCCTCGCAAGACGAAAATAATCTGTTCTGCGAGTCTCTTCGTCTAGCGGTTTTTTCGTCTTGCGAAGCAACCCTATTAGCGGCTTAGCGGATTAGCGCTATTGGCGGTTTAGCGGCTATTAAAGGCTTAGTGGCTTAGCGGCTAAAAGGCTATTAGCGGCTTAGCGGCTTAGAAAAAGGGGGGGGAGCGAAAAAAATCGCAAGACTCGCAAGACGTTTTCGTCTTGCGAAGCAAGCCCATAGGGAAAATCGTCTTGCGAAGCAACTCAAAAACGGAAAACCCTTTCGTCTAGCGGGTTTTTTGTCTTGCAAGGCATTCGTCTTGCGGGGCACCACTGTATGTACTATATATTCTAATAATGGCTACTACTATATCCTTCCCACTCTAATGTTTGCATAGAAATCCTCTGAACAATTATTGCGGAAGAATGCACTGAGATAGGCTAATGCCCTTTACCCTCTCTCCCTCCTTTCCCTTCTATTTCCTGTGTGCATGCTGAAAGCTCAAGGACACGGAAAGCCATCTAAAAATATCCTGTGTTCAAACACAAATCCTAACTAGAGCCAACAATTTTTCCTCTTGATTGATTTGAGTTGCGGCTGATCTTAAGAAGGGGCCTTTATTACAAGTGTGTGTTTGTATCTATACACACTTCTTTTCCATCAATCATGGAGCACAAATTGACTCTAACTTTTAAACTCCAGAAACGCAGGTTTTCCATTGCAATTCAGTTGCATTCTGTTAAAGGACCCCTGGACAGTTAAGTACAGTCCAAGGTGACTATGGGGTACAGCGCTCATCACTTTCAGGCCAAGTGAGCCAGCGTTTGTTCACAGACAGCTTTCCAGGTCAAGTGGCAGCAGGACTAAACCATTTCTGGTGCACAGAAACACCGTTTGCCTCCTGTAGCATCAATGGGCTTAAAACTGCCAAATCTAAAGCTTTGTCATCTTCCAATTTATTGCAGTTCACATAAACATTAACTTTTGTACTGTCTTTTTATGATACCCTTTATTGAAATTGCAATGTGCTTCCTATACCTACACCAATTCCCCCCCCCCCCCCGCACATACATTTCCCAAAGCTCAAATATAATCTTGTCAAAACCAGTTTATCAGACTTAAAACTTGGATAAGGTATGGGCCTGAACAGGGAAAGAGAGGTAGAGAGAAATGAAGCATATATAAACTCTCTTCAAACAGTATATCCCTGTAATGCAACTTTTGCCAATCTTTTCTGATGGGAGTTGCAGTTCAAAACATTGGAAGGACACCAGACTGGCAAAGTACAGAAGTAATAAAAGAGGGAAAACTATGCTATGATGCTAATCCTGAAGGAATCGATAGGTTGTACCCAACATCCTCTATCCACTAGCACAACGACTCTTGTGCTAGCCGATGGATGAGTTGCGGAATGAGAAATCCAACGCAACAGTTGTCCTAGCTCTCATAGTGAAAGAGATTGCGCAATTTACTGCGCAATGGCATTAAAAGCAACTTGATTATGCATTCTCCTGCAGAACACATTTGCCGCTGCATTGGATACAACCCCAACTATACTCTTTAAAGCAGAGCTTCAAAAGGAGGCATAAGTCCTACTCAGGCATTCAACGCGTACATGATTCCAACGGCATGACGGTGGAGCAGGAATGCACTCAATGGCTCTGTCGCCTCTGTCACTTTCCACACGTTGGTAAGGAGCCTGCTCTGCAAGGAGTGAAGGCAGCAGGGCCAGGCAACAGCGGCCTCCACGCTCTCCCTACCTAGTGAATCACTGAGATGACATGCCAATCTTAGGTCTTTTGAGACCTGATCCCTTATCCCTACACAGCCCTCTTACTCCTCTCCTCTGTTCTTCTTCTATGTCATCTATAACAGTAAGCATATCTCTAGACAATACAGACTCGTTACTTACTTATGGCAAGAATCAACTCCCGCCTCTGTGCAAAGCCTATAAGGCGTTCAGAGTCTTTAGAAACCACCACTGGAAAGCCGTTGTAGTCCGTCTCCTTGATTAACGTCTCCACATCTTCCACCGTCATGCTGTCTTGGGTCAGGACGGAGAGAGGCGGCTCTCCGCGCCTAGGCCTCATGACATCAGTGGCCAGTGTTCTGTGGGTGAACTCATCCTTCACATCCAGAAATGGATAGCCGTTCAAATGTATGTGTGCCTCGTAGATCCCTTCTTTGCCAAAGGCATCAGCTACCCATTTGCTAGTGACAGCTGCAGCCATCAAGGGTACTATGTACTCCAATCCTCCTGTTAACTCAAACATGATCACAACAAGAGAGACTGTCATTCTGGTGACTCCGCCTGTCGAAAGAGTGAGAGGACCTTTGGTAATGGAAATGATTTGCAACATACATGGGTATCATTAGCAGTATACCAGGATAATCTACGAATGCTAAATCAGAAGCACTGTTGATTTTTTTAATATAAAGTTTATTTATTTAAAAAAAACAAGCCAGGCATGATAGAGGTTAAAACTATTTTCCATAAAGTAGCATTGCATCAGTAAATACATCCATGAATGTATTTCTTAAAACTTAAAAAAAGACCCCAGCAATGAATCCCCGTTGTGGGGATTCGAACCACCAACTTTCTGATCGGCAAGCCCAAGAAGCTCGGTGGTTTAGATCACAGTGCCATCCATGTCCCTATTTAAATACCACATTACATACAACCAAGAGAAAAGTCACATATTGTACCTAAACAAGCTGCAGCTCCCACCATGGCGTAAAGTCCTGGGGTAACACAGTCAGCTCCTGGCCTGCACCAGTTCCGGAAGATGATCCAGTCATGGTGATGGTAGGCCAACTGCTCCACTCCGATCCCAACTATTCTTCCAGCGATAGCTCCCACAGCCATACTAGGTATGAAGAGTCCTGAAGGGATCTCAAATAACATAAGCAGAAGTGAAAAGTCCGATTCTCAAAAGGTCAACTTGACTGCATACCATGAAGACGATTTTAAAGTACAATAAATAACTTGCAAAAGCATCTCATGCCAAATTTTAATCCACAATCTGTCTGTGGATTAAACCTGTTAAGTTTGTTATATACCACACTTAAAAAGGATACCTAAGCAGATGGGTAGCAATGTAAGCTTTCAAAATGAGAGTCTACTTCTTCACATGCGGCAAAACATAAATCCAGCCACAAGGTAGGGTCACATCGACAAGGCAATGTTACCAGAATGACAAGGGAAACAGCCATACTTTACCAGCTCCCTCTGACATAAATGATACATACAGATCTTAATTTTGTCAGAGCTCAACAGCACTGAGAGGGCCACAGGTAGGGGCGCCTTCCTTGTGGAACGCCCTCCCTTCAGATGTCAAGGAGATAAAGAATTATACAACTTTTAGAAGTCATCTGAAGGCAGCCCTGTATCGGGAGGTTTTTAATGATTGGTGTTTTTATTATGTTTTTAGATATGCTGTAATCCGCCCAGAGTGGCTGGGGAAACCCAGCCAGTTGGGCAGGGTTTAAATAATAAAAATTATTATTATCACAGCCCTTGGGTTTTAAGCTTTTTCTTTCTTAGTCTTTTATGATACCCATATATGACTGGATGTATCCAACTTCGAGAGTAGTGCCTAAGATTGTCGTAAAACCATTTCAGCTTTGCCTAATTTCATTTATGAATTTATTCCAAGTTTAGCTATTTTACATTTTCTTTTCTTTTTGTCATACAGCTCAAAACATGCATGCCTTTCCCCCTTCCTCCTCCTCGTCAGAATCTGATAACGATTCAGGCATAGTGAGCAAGAAAAGAATTATGTCTGTTTAAAACTTCTGAAAATGAGCCCCTGTCATTTTGGCATACTTTACAACTTTATTACCGCCCTTTTCTGTATAATTTAGATTGGATTTGAATTACATGTCAAACGCAGCATAAAAATGTTTAACAAGGAGCCTGGCTTTTCACAGGTGAAATCAGGCGGTTCATTCCTGCATCCCTGCTTGTCAAGAGCTTTGTGAATTACGCCTTTCCTTGCCTGGCGTGCAATCAAGTCACCAGTCAGAATAGCAGGCAGAAGGTGAAATGAAAACATCAGTCACTCCACTTGCTCGCTCCATCCTGGCAGGATATACATTGCATATTTCATAATAAAGCTATTTCTCAAGCCAAGGCAAGTGTTTGTGCGTGTGTAATGAAATTGTTTAGCATCAAAGTCTGAATCCCAGTACCATCTTATTAAAGGCCAGTTAGTACTACAGAGATGAAGTGAGAGAAGCTGTTGAATTCAACAAGGTTTGCTGCCCTGTAAGCAGGGTAGGATTTGCAGCCTTAGATGTCTTCAGTGCGTAGGCTGACAATGTTAGTCTTCCTGAGGACACGGTGGGAGAAAAAACAAAATCTGAATCGGATTTCTCCTTTCACATTTCCTGTGAAATGCAATGTACAAAGTGGGAACTAGCACACTTCCCATGAAATAAGAGGTCCCTGTACAGTGGTACCTCAGTTACGAACTTAATTAGTTACGGAGGTCCATTTGTAACCTGAAACCGTTGTTAATATGAGGCACGCTTTCACTAATGCCGCGTCGGCGCACGACTTCCGCTGGCATCCTGGGGCAAAGTTTGCAACCAGGAGCATCTACGTCCGGGTTAGTGGAGCTCTTAACCTGAAGCATTCGTAAGGAGGACGGTACGTAACACGAGGTTCCACAGTATTTGGAGCAAGCACAGATCATGAACTCAGGTTTCGTGCGAGTTTATTCTCCATGCCAGAATTACAAAATTAGGGGAAATTACTTTAATTCTACTTCGCTTCCCTCTGCTTCCTTGTAATATGTGAAACCATTTTAATTAGCAGCAGTAAAGGACTAAGTTATGAGGCACCTTAGTAACTGACAAGGGCTGAGCCGCTGGACCTCTTTCCTAGATGGGACGATATACTGCAACATTTTGTTGCAGCGCCCACTCGATACAATAACAACCTTATCATTATTAATAAACATGACTAACAACAAATTAACAGAGCATTTATTTATTTATTTATTTATTTATTATTATTATTATTATTATTATTATTATTATTATTATTATTATTATTATTATTATTATTATTATTTTATAACCCACCCTTTAACACATAGGTTCTGAGGTTGGTATACAACATTACATTAAGATACCACATAGCAGTATAAAACCATAAAATATCTAAACTGAGAAGCCATTGTGCGTCTCTTGATGCTGAATGTTAAGTTCAGCATACAAGTATACGGCATGCAAGCTTTTGCTGACATAGAAATAGCTAGCTCACTCTAAGTTATGTTCCCAAAGCTAATTTAACCTTTTCATGCTACATGACATGCATATCTTTTCCAACAGTTAAGCTCATATTGAATTCCCAATCTTTTGTGCGTGGAAGTTTTCATCTATAAAAATTCCTCACCACACCTAGCAGGAGGTCTTAATTCAGTATTAAAATAAAAGTGATTTTTACAAATAAAGAAAACAATAAAAGACAAGCAGAGGAGAACATATAGCAGGTTTTAGTTTAATAAGGTCCATTTCCAGTTCACAGCCGTGGAATGAATTTTTTGAAATTATACCAGAAAAGTATAGAATGGAAAAATCACTTCAGAAAAGATTCTCCCCCGTGTAGCGTTTTTGAGGGTGAAGATTGGATCTGGGGCTCTGACATTCTTACTTTGGGTCTGGGTCTCGTGGGCCAGAACAAAAACAGAGAGAGGCAACTATGCTGAGCCAAACAACCATACCACGCCACTGGTTTTTGTGTGTTCTTCAAGTTATGTCTAATACTTGCCCTGCAAACCTATCCAAGCTAATATGTGAGTTTTGTTTGAAAGCAAGCTCGTGGGATGCAAACAATACAAACTCTTAACAACACACACACACAAATTGGAAGGTCTTGGCACAAGAATCCACAATCGGTCAAATCAAAAAGTTGCCACAATCAGATCGTAAAGGGACCTCATGTGCTGTCAGCAGTTTAGGCATTCGGAACAACTCTGTCCAATTGCACATTCTTCCCAGCCTTTGGACAGCGTCCAAAACTAAATTAAAATACTTCCAGTGTAGTTTTTGCCAATGGCATGACAAGTTGATTAGGCTGCCATTTAACATTGGTCAGCTAATGCAACAACTTTACTTCCTGTCAGCAGCCCATAAGTTCTTATTTCAATCCAGGGATTTCAGAAAAGCTTAAGGAGTCTAGAGAAGGGGGAAGCTGAGCCTTGCCAGAATGCTGCCATGTCAAAAATTCCTTCAACACAAGAAATGGGGAGGTGCCAAGTTGCTCATGTTACACTATTTGTGAATTGGGTTTATACAGTTTATCCCCTTGCATCAGTTAAGGGATGCACAAAAGAGGATGGGGGGGATGTATGTCTCCATGCGCCTCCAGAGGGAAGTACGTCTCACACTTGACATCCCAATTGATTTGACTACCCAGAATGCAATGGTTTTTAAGCTCTATTCTCTGAACTAGAATGAACTGTGCAAAAGAAAACAATGGTTTCAAAGTGAACATGCAGCATCTTGGTGCACACTGCCAAAACAGTGGGGGCTTCGCTCCTGCACTGCTGGGAGTTAAGCCATGGTCTGTCTTAGCATTACAGTCATACCTCAGGTTAAATATGCTTCGAGTTGAGCGCGTTCGAGATGCGCTCCTCGGCAACCCAGAAGTAACGGAGTTTCTTCCGGGTTTCGCTGCTTGCGCATGCGCAGACGCTCAAAGTGACGTCATCCGCAGAAGCGGCAAAAAGTGACACACGCATACGCAGACACGCCATCGCTAGTTACGTTTACCTCTAGATGCGAACGGGGCTCCGGAACGGATCCTGTTCGTATCTAGAGGTACCACTGTACAAAATAAAAATAAAAATTGGAGACCAGATTGCCACAAAATTGCCACAGACACTGCAACTTACCTTCATACCAAAGGTAAATATTGTGATGATGATTTTAAAAACCAGAGCCAGGGCGAGTTGCCACATAGCCATGTACACTCCAATCCCAGCCGGTCTGTCAGGAATATCGTCCACAGGCCTCGTCATATTGGGGTCGTTTATGTAGTCGCAGAGCTGCGAGGACTCTAGAGCGCCGCAGTCGTTGAACAGTTCTGAGATCAGCTCGCTGGTGCTCCTGCGAGTGTACGGATTGGGGAAAGCAATGATGGCAGTGATGGCAGTCACCACGATGACCTCTAAGACCGGGTACTTTCCAAGCTTGGTGGTTTTGCGCCTCCTGCACCAGGCAATGTTGCATCGGATGAAAAGCGTCCCCCACAAACCTCCAAAAACTCCCAGCAGAATGAAGGGGAAAAGTTCGGCCATGTACCAAGGCGTGTGATACTCCACATAAAACAGAACCAGGCGGCTGTTTCCGAATGGATTGATGGATCTCAAGGTAAAAGCAGCAACGAGGGCAGCAAAAAAGGATCTCCAGAGAGTCTTCAGCGGAAAATAATAACTCACCTGAGAGAAAATAGAATCAATCAATAACAACCAGAGTGTTTCCCATTGGAAATCAGCATTAAGTTACACAGTGCATTTTAAAACATGCCCATATCCATTGCTTTCAAAGGTACAGTCGTACCTTGGAAGTCGAACAGAATCCATTCCGGAAGTCCGTTCAACTTCCCAAACCAAAACGCGGCTTCTGATTGGCTGCAGAAAGCTCCTGCAGCCAATTGGAAACCACGGAAGCCCTGTCGGACGCTCAGCTTCCAAAAATAGTTTGTAAACCGGAACAGTCACTTCTGGGTTTGCGATGTTCGGGAGCCAAAACGTTTGGGAACTAAACTGTTCGACTTCCAAGGTACAACTGTATTCCCCGGAGATTTGTGAGGGAAAGGGTGCACTGTCTGTGTCACACAAATCTTTAAAAAGATCCCACCCACCCCCACCCAGACTCTGGGAGAGGACAACAGAAAAACTGTGCTGTATTAATTTTGCGATATCCATGTATATTTATGCAAATACATTGCAGAGGGGAATCAGCTCTTTCCCAGACTTTGGGATGGTGCAGGGGAAAGGAAAGGGAACCAGCAGTGGCAGCTGCACCAGAGTAGCAGTGGCAGCCTAGGTAAAGGGACCCCTGACCGTTAGGTCCAGTCGCGGACGACTCTGGGGTTGGGGCGCTCATTTCACTTTACTGGCCGAGGGAGCCGGTGTACAGCTTCCGGGTCATGTGGCCAGCATGACTAAGCCGCTTCTGGCGAACCAGAGCAGCACATGGAAACACCATTTACCTTCCCGCCGGAGCGGTACCTATTTATCTACTTGCACTTTGACGTGCTTTTGAACTGCTAGGTTGGCAGGAGCAGGGACTGAGCAATGGGAGCTCACCCCATCGCGGGGATTTGAACCGCTGACCTTCTGCTCAGCAAGCCCTAGGCTCTGTGGTTTAGACCACAGCACCTACCCATCTGCTAAATAGGAAACTGGGAGGGTCACTCCTCACAAGTTTCTGAGAGTTTTTTAGCAGACCGCTAGTTCCCTCACAGAGCTATTAATTCCATGAGCACTTTAACAACCAAGCAATCCCCCTTCCTAGCAAATTATGAGAATTGTAGCTCTGTGCAAGGAATAAGGTCCTCCTTACAACTCACAGCACCCTTTAACAAGCCACAGTTCCCAGGTTTCTCTGGTCTGGTACGGATGTGGCTGAGTGTGGCCTGCATAGAATCTTCAGGAAACCTGTGGGTTTCTGCATAGCCCAAGTTGCTTCTTACCTCTTCTAGGCTAAAAAGGACACCACCGATTGGTGCTCCAAAGGCAACAGAGACACCAGCAGCAGCAGCGGCTGAAAGCACCTAAGCACGGAAATAATGACACACACGCAAGTTAAAGAGTCTGTGGAAAATACACATAAGTTTACGAGGTGAGGAGAGGAAATTGCAAAGCACGACGTTACCTCTCGTCTCTTTCCCTCGTTCTTGCTGTACTTGGAGAAGAGGCTGCTGAAAAAGTTGCCACAGCAACAAGCCACGTGCACCAGCGGCCCTTCTTTGCCAAGGCTGAGTCCGGAAGACACCACCAGAACCAAAGTTACTGTTTTGATTAAGAGGGTCCACTTGCCTAGGTAGCCCCTTATAATGAAACCACTCAAGATGGTCTTTATCTGGAAGGCAGGAAGAACAAAAGTGGTTGGCAGCTCTAGATTTTGTGAAGCCGATGCAAATTTTGAAGAGGTGTTTTTTTAAAAAAGACTTGTGAAAGCTAAGTCTCTAAAAATACAAAGCAGATGCTACTTTAACACCAAAAGGTTTCTTCATTTTCACTCCCGATTCCATCTCCTTTAGCAGATCCCCCCACAACTTTTTCAAACCTTCACTCTAAACCACCCTCAAGCATTGGAAATTAGGAAATTATTCCCACCCCCCGTTTTGAAATGCCTGTCAATCCAGAATGAAAGCAAAAAAAAACTTACCTCTGGAATTCCAGAGCCGCAGGCGTAGGGAGCAAAAACCCGGACAAGGGAGACAGCCAGGAAAGCAAACAATAGAGCCCACAAAATGTAAAGAAAATAATTTAGAATGTAAGCGCTTGCACCCTAGAGGGAGGAAAGAGAGAGAGAAAGAAACCAAGAACAAACAACTGTTAAACCAATCCAACAAGTACTATGTTTCTGCTAGTTGCTATATAAATAAGAGACGCTTTGGGGCTAGGTTTCTTCCCTGAATTTAATGACAGGGCTATTGCAGAAAAGAAAGCCCACTACTTATGCAAGGGTTACATTCTGGGGATCACGCCTGAAGCCAAAATCACATATAGTCAAAACATACTAGGTGCAATGGCAGGTGGGATTGCCAAAGGATGCACGCCTCCTTTTTATTTATTTTTATTTATTTTTTTGCCAAGCATGTAAAACTGAATGTATGCAAGTTAAATGCACATAAGTTGAGGGCTTACTGTATTTATTACATTGCCAGCGATCTCCTCCAAAGGCAGCAGCCAATGGCTGGCCAGAAAGCAAGGCTCTGCCCTCCTGGAGGGGCCACAAATTGGCTCATTTGAAAAACCCTTTTGGGTGGGAAAACTGGTCCCAAGATCCCACCAGCTGAGGGGAATTCTCTTTGAGGGGCAAGCCAACGTGCATGCCCAGGCTAGTGTGGATGGTGGCCGAGAGCGAGGGGCCACAACCATCACCCACTGGGAAAGTGCTCAGCAGCCATTATTACATAGTCACTGAGTTCCTCCAAATAACCCGTTTATTCAGCCACCATCCCAATTTGCTTGCACATAGCTTAGGCAGTCTGTACTAAGCATTCCTTCTGATTTGTTTCTGGGGTGGTTGTATGACAATGAGCATTCATTCCAATTTGCTTGTGGAGTGTTTATACATCTTCCTAATGAAACACTTTTCCATGCAATTTCCCATCACTTTCCTAGCTGCAAAAAGTCTGTTTGGTTTTTTTCTAAGTATTTTCTGTGCTGGAGTGACACCTAAATTTGCAGTTGCACTTGTATCCCTCCAGCCACATAGCGACAGGCTGGAGACGCCCAATGTTTCTCCAACAGTACAAATATCTGCTTCTTGACTGCAGTTCTGCACACACTTAAGCAGGAGCCAGCACTGCAGAACTCAGGGAGACCTACATCGGGGTTGTCACAGAACTGGGCTACGTGTTATCTGTGCGGCACCCACAGTAAAGCAATTTATACAGAAAATGCAACTGGGGGTAGGAAACACTAAACTCTTTATAAATACAGTGCATGGCCGCCACAACTACACTGCAAACCATATTTAAACAGATGCTAAACCACTGTGGGAGCTGGCACGACATTTGGAAAATATTCATTAACTGCCCAAGAGAAAAATTGCTCAACACATGTAGAAAAAGGTCTGCCCCATAATCCCTAAAAAGCAAGGATTATGCAGGACAAATGAACACAGATACAGGCAGTCAGGAGGGAAACTTGAATTGTCACCCATTCCCTCCCCACAGAGTCAATAGTGTTTTTCTTTTTTAAGATAATGCATAGGGGAAAGTAAGTAGATGTAAGTAACTCTCAGTATGAATACTGCTGGACTACAACTCCCATCAGCCCCAGATTGGATACCCCTGAAGTCACCCTTACTGGCAAGAAGCGAAGGTTGTGCTAAGAGCCACAGTTTAGTGGGAGAGCATTTGCCTTGAGGGCAGAAGCTCTCTGGTTCAATTACTGCACATACATACTGGGAAAGACTCTGACCTGAAATCCTAGACACCAGCTGCCATTCAGTGTAGACATTACTTAGCAAAATGGACCAACCAACTGGATAGCTCAACTGGTTAGAGCATAAAATTCCTTCCAGTAGCACCTTAAAGACCAACTAAGTTAGTTCTTGGTATGAGCTTTCGTGTGCATGCACACTTCTTCAGATACTTATCTGAAGAAGTGTGCATGCACACGAAAGCTCATACCAAGAACTAACGTAGTTGGTCTTTAAGGTGCTACTGGAAGGAATTTTTTGACTATGGCAGACCAACACGGCTACCTATCTGTAACTGGTTAGAGCATGGTGGTGATAATGCCAAGGTTGCAGGTTTGATCCCCATATTGAACAGCTGCATATTCCTGAATTGCAATTCTGTAATGCTATTCTGTGAATGTTCCCAGCTCAGGATATGGCAGTTTCCTGTGGTCCGTACACCGGATAAGGGAGGATTCAGCTAACAGCTCATCTAATAGCTGGGTCCTTAACTCCTTGTTAAATCACATGGAATCAATGTGAAGCTCCTTGTACATGAATAAGAATGGCATTTCACCATAGGATGGCTCCAAATGTTTTACTGCTGCAAAAGCTAAAAAGGGATTACCACTCAGCAGGCATGGGTTCCCCCCACACCTCCCACTAGTCCCTTTGTCTTACCTATTTGCACAGAACAATTATTAATTGGGTGGCTCTTCTCACCAATTTTGACAGCTGGATTTGCTTATCCCCAGCTAAAGAAAATATTAATGGCATCTCTGTTTTGACACTTACTGAAGCCGTGAGTAATCCTTATTGCCACAGCTGAAGAGCATTTGTTTAAATTTCCCCATGAACGTCTTCCCATAGAGCTTTAAACAAGAGCCAGCTATGGCAATAATCATTATTCCTTTACAGGATGGGCTTTGTTTGCAAATCAAGGTCCATACCAGTGTGAATAGCCTTGGAGTTAAGAGAGGCTGCTCTTAAAAATTTGGTTCTCAAAATACTTGGAAGAGAACCTCTTTGTCCTCTCGATGTAGCTAAACTGTTGCTGGGCTTGGTTCCTACCACTCCCACCCCTTAAATCACAGATATAAAAACTTAAGAGATATATTTTAGAGAAAGGCTAGGAGGGCTGCCTGTTTTCGACAAACCTAAATCTGGTGGAACTGGTTTGAGAATTTGCATTCTCTGCTCTGGAAATGAATGTTTTGTGGCATGGAGACTGTGTGTACCCAGATCTCTCATGCTCAAAATGTTACATATGTCTTCAGCCTAAGTCCCACGGAGATAAAAGACCTATGTTTCCAACCATGCTTTGAGACTCAGCTTTTCCCACAGGTATTTGAATGCCCCTAAGGTACTTTCATTTCCTTTCATCAGTCAAAATTAAACCATGGGTGTTACTAGGTTCGTCCTTCCTCCAAGGAGCTTACAGCAGAACTTTGGCCTCAACCCCGCAAGGTGTTAAGTTGAGAGGCAATGGCTTGACTTGGCCAGAAAGAAAATCATGCTTTAGGGTTACATCATGCATTAGCTTTAGGGCTGTGTATTCCCAACCTCCTTCTCTGGTATGGCAGCGAGAAGACCTCAAGCTTCCACTTCCATTTTTAATTAACTGAATTTTGGTGTCCATACCTTTAGTTTTGGTTAGCCTGTGGTTCACTGAAACAAGCAAAGACCGCTCACAGTTTTTTTTTTGGGGGGGGGGAGCACTCAATTTCAGTTAGTAAAGAACAAAAGCAAAAGTTTACAATCTTCTCACAGCCAGTCCAGGCAAGGGAGAGGGGGTACACAAACCATTGTTTACTGTTGTCCTAACACAGCCGGTTTAGTTGCCCAATGGCTGAGCCCAATACTATACCATCTCTCGTATTTAGTAACTACAGGACAAATCTGTGACAAAATCGTAACAGGGCAGTTGATTTACGGGTGACATAGCTTCTGGCACCCATTCACCTCCCAAGGACAGTTTTGATATGGAAACTGGCACAAAATTGATCTTGGACTGTCAAAGCAGTAGGCTGTACTGGACCAATGTTGCAAGCAAGAGCGGGGAACCTGTGTTTCTGGTCTGCAGCTCCTAGTATGACCACTGGCAGTTCAGACTTGGGCTGATAGGAGAGTCTGACAACTTTTGGAGTCACATGTTTCCCATCCCTGCCTTAGTATTTTGTGGGCTTACATGGGCGTAGACAGGGTTTTCATTGGGGGCAGAACTGACCTGATTGGTTGGTTACTTAAGTATTTCTATTGTTTTACTTGATGGGGGGGCAGCTGATCCCCTGCCCACCCTTGGCTACATCCATGTGGGCTTAGCGAGTACCGTTATGCAGAAGGAAAAACAGAAGGAACACAGGATACAGTGGCTGTTTGATTTCCTTCAATATTTTTATACACCAGGCATCTGCTATAGAGGTTCTCTCTCTCTCTCTCTCTCTCTCTCTCTCTCTCTCTCTCACACACACACACACACACACACACACACACACTAATTAAGACAATTTTGACAGGTGTCAGAATTCATAACTGCAGTGTGACAAACAGCTCTGAAGCCACGAAAAGGCACGAAACCTCAGGGTAAAATGGTGTTGCAAAAATATCCATCTATATCTATGTCTTCAATCTGTCAAATTCCATTAGCTATGACAAGCAGAATTCATCAGGCGCAGATAAGGAAGAGTCTGAAAATATTACATCCGAGACACTGCCCTTTAAGGATTGCCTACATAAAGCTAATCATTTTCCATTCTTAGTGTGAACGTTTCATAAAAGTGACAGGAGGATATAAAGTTTGTACAACAGCAATTAGAAAGGGAGGCAGCCATATTTCAGTGGTGGAGAGCACATGCTCTTCATGCAAAGGGTTCCAAGGTCAATCCCCGGTGCTTTCAGGTAGGCTGGGAAAGGCTGCCATTCAAATCCCCGGAGAATCTCTTTTGGTCAGCACAGGACATGCTAAGCCAAATGGACTAATGGACAAAGGCAGCTTTCTATGTTCCTGTGGTTCCACCAAGCATTAGACATGTACATATGTGAACGAGGAGAGTGATTCCAATAATGCTCTTAAGCGCCCTGTAATTCCATTCTCATGAGAGCCAGCATCGTGCCATGGCTATAGTGCTGGAGTCCTGTGTTAGGTAATTGAATTAGTTGAATTACAACTTTAATCTATGTGGAATATGATTATTATGTTGGTTGCAGATGAAAGATGGCATCATCTCAGCTGCTGTGCTTAGGAGCAAAACTTTGCACACGTTCAAGTCATAGAAGCAGGTGCAGTGAGTGGCACACTCCCTCTCCTGTGAATTTCAGGTAATTTGCAGGCTCCATATTGTTTTGAACTAACTTGCCTTGGTCCTAATTAGATAAGACTTCAGTGACAAAGCACACCTTCTTTTTCCTTCCTTCAGCAAACCAATAATCTCTCCAGGGCTCCTTTCAAGTTTGGTAGAACACATTTTAATGAGAGTTCCTTGCTAAAATATTAACCGCGCAGGGAAGAACAGTGAAAATTATTTGAAAGGTGTAGACATACCTCAGACTGGTTAACTAGAAGTTCAGACCACTTTTGCCACTGCGGACATTTGTCCCTGTCCTCAAAAGAAGTTTCGTTAAATGTCCAGCAACACTGCTCATGGCTGTACCAGAATGCGGATAAACAGACACCTTCTTTCAGATCTGTCATCCAGTCCACCGCCAAATCGATAACTCCAGCTAATGTGCCTGGCGGGGGGGGGGGGGACAGACATTAATACACGAAGTATATGTCTAAGGGAAAAACCCAGACATTTGAATGTAAGAGAAATGAATGTGGTTCTCACAGAAAACCCATAAATATGAATCAATCCATAAACAGGTGGCATTCACAGTCAACTCTGTGTTGAATTACCACCCTATGGTGACCAAAATAAGAGTTTATCTCACTCTCTGACTGTCTATGTAATTTATGACTCCCTATCCACAAAATTGTCTCAGGACTGCGTGGCCATTTCAAGAATACGTGTCCTTAAAACGCACATTAGGGGGTTGAGAGAGACCTGGGAAAACAGAAGATAAAGGGAAGTTCTCTTTTACCTTCCTGTAGAGTTTACTGTGCAATGTTTCCTTTTAAATGCCAGCTGCTTTTCTTGGCTCGGCACAGAGAATTTCTAAACAACAGGCTCCCCTAATCGCACACAAGCAAGCTCATTCGGCCAGACAAGAGTATGTTTGCAGCGCAAGTAAATATGTTCTTGTCTAGACTGCTCCATGTGCCAATAAAATCAATGGGGTCGAAACCGAGGTCAAAACTGGTGGTGGGGCTACTGTGCAGGTCTCATGCCAGGATCAGGCCACCAGATGAACAAGCAAGCATCTTGTGTGCTTATTAGTCTCAATACCCTGTCACTTAAAATAGGAAAACATTTAAAAAAAGATTTAAGGGACATCACTTACATTGTGAAGACCAGAAAGTATAATTTACCTACACTATACAACTAAAATGTACAATGGCTTTTTTATTTTATTTTTGCACACATCTGATCTGATAGCTTTTTCAAATTATATAGCACAACAGCGACATCCAGTGGTAGCTGAAGAATCATGCAGTACTGGGACTGTGTTGCAATAGCTTTATACAGACCAATCCAAAAATTACAAAGCAGTAATTTGCCAAATATGTTCTCCAACACTTGAGTTCAGTTTGCTGGTGCACACAAAGAGATCCAAAACAGTACAGGCTTTTCCGTTCACCATAACACTGAAAACAGTTAAAGTTATGCACTCTTGGATCTGTATGGACACTGGTAATGAAGAGTAAACTTGTTCCATATGTACACCAAAGTTCTGTTCACATGCAAAAGCCCTTCCTGGGCAAACAATGTTAATTCAGGGATTTATTTATTTTTTTGCTTTCCTTTACATTTTTTCAGTCATCCCAGTACTATGAGAATATATGGCCTATTAACTGATAGTAAACTCCAGTTAGTAACAGAGTTGCCAGGAAACTGGCAAATGCCTGAAAATAAAATAGCTATAAAATCACCTGGCTCAGGCGATTTTTAAAAAAAACATACTTCTAATTCCTCCTCACCATTTATGGCTTCACCTAAAACGTTCCCAGCAATTAAGCCCGGTGATAGTTGAAATCTGTTTGTAAAATATTATTTGGTCTACATTTGGAACAGAAATCTAAGTCTTTGGCATTTGAAAAATAAAAGCATAGATAAAGAGGATGCATATAATCCATTCAGGGAGCTACAGGTTTGATTCCACATTTCCAGTGATACAACTTCCCTTCTATTAATGCCTATTTTTGTAGCATAAATTTAGTCAAGGCCAAGAAATGGGCATATTAGTGTCAACAAAACAAGAGCTTATTACAGCATTTACATTCACAGGAATATTTTCACAGAAAGTGCCTATTTCTGGTTAATAAAAAAAAATCTAGGTCAATGTTCAGCATGCGATTTTACACACATATCCCAAAGCATGAAGCATAGCTACATCTTCCCTTTGGCATGCTGAAATGTTAAGGATCGCATGCATAAACTCAATTTATGCAGATGCCTTCATAGGGAAGCTGAGAATGTCTACATTGGTCAACATAGCATAAGACTTTCTTGAAAATACCTGCCAGCAGTCCTATAAGAAGCATCACAACCCATCCCGACCAGGCATCTAGTAAACTTTTGATGAACTCCCATATTGACTCCTTGCTTTTGTTTGTAATCTGGAAGGGAAAAAATAGTGTTTACTTGAAAGACATGCAATTTTTATATAGTACAGTTCTATATAACCAAGCAGCCCAACAGAAAAACAACAACATGTGTATGCTCTGATCGCATAATATTTGCATTTGTTTACACTGCAAATGTGTATACAGGATTTGCATGGAATACAGTTAAAGCAGAGTTTTGGTTCACATAAATGCATGAACAAGTTAGGATTCCTTGATGAAATTTGGACACTGATATTTGATAGTCTGTCTTGCTGTAAGGCAAAAGATGCTTATTTTCTTCTAGGTCTTTCCCTTAACAGACAACCACATAATGCAGTATACATTATTTTGAAAGAATAATTTAAGCATTGAGAAAGACAGGGATCGCCAACATGGCGCTTCCAGATGTTGTTGGACTCCAAACGTCCCAGCCAACATGGCTAATACTCAGGGATGATGAGTGGGGTATAAATAATGAAATTATCACCATCATCAGAGTTGTAGACCAGAAACATTCAGAGACCACCATGTTGACTATCCCTGCAGTAGTCTAAAGATTCATATTCCTCCAGAAGTGGATTTTGAAATATGCCTTGTCTTTGATGGCAAGTTCCTTCAACCTTTTCTCAAAGTATTACTTCAGTCATTTTGATTTCTTTATTTCATAACATTTTATACACGTGATTGTAATAAAATCTCAAAGTGGTTTATGAAAAGGTCAGACCTATCAATTTGGGTGTGTAGGGGTTAATGATCTACCACTTTAGCTATCAGAAATGCTCCCTGCTTTTGAAATATTTCCCCCCCTTACCTTTCTATGCCTGTCTGTGTCACGTGACTTCTCCCTCAACCAATCAATGGTATGAAAGTCTTCATATGTCCCAACATCGGGGAAAGGTTCATCCAAGAAATCCATCAAATTTCCAGACCCATTCATGTTTCCAGCATTAACCATATTAGTACCTGTAAGGAAAAGAGAGGGACAAGTTCAGAAATTTACTCCTCGGGTACCTCTCCTTGTCATTCCCACCAACCCAGGCAAACAGAGAACATTACAGAATTGAAGAATAGGATTGATCAATACTAGAAAAATAACTTAAAATCTATTTCCTTTGTTACGCCTGGCAATGGCCAAGCCAATGATCCCAGATGAGTCACTGACACACAGTTGGTCTGATCCCAGTTTCTTGTCCAGAGCACAATTTGAAACTCCACCTTGAAGGATCGCTCTCCCACTGTACAATAGATTTCAGTTTGTTAAAGACCTAATGAAAGGTGGGTACTGAGCAGACATAACCAACATAAAATGAAGGATCCAAAGAATTATGCAACTAGTTCCACATGCTCAGGAGAGATCTGGAATTGTGTTTCTCGCAGAGCAGTTTCCTGTGGCACACAACAAAACCTCTTTTGTAATTGAGGGGGGAAATATACATTTGTAGAATCACATACAAATGTGAAAAAGTGGGGTAGGGAATCTACTGAGCATGCCTAAAATAGCCCTCTGTATTCTGGCCTTTGCATTTGAGCAGTATTTTCTTTATAAGCATGTCTCTGCCCTTTGATAACTGATTATTCTGCAGTCCATAGTATCTTCAATCAGTTTCTCACTCCTACAAGTAACTTTGCACACAAGCATTTTACTCACATTAGCAGAAGATTTGTGCACGTGCTCCCCCTTCTCTTCTGCACTCTCTAAAATCGCAAGTTGCCGATTTCCATTTAATGGAAGGCAATCTCAACTGAATCTGTTGATTTGATCTTATACTACTTATCCAAGTAGAAAACCATGTGATCAATTGCTTGACAAACTAGGCCATATATTGATTATTGGAACCGACTCACTGACTAGCATGGGAGACATGTTTTGCTCAGTGGCAAAAAGGAAAAAAAGAGCCCACAAGGGTGAATTCCAACAATGTCAATCTGTTCCAGAGGGTTGAAGGACCTACAAGGGCATGAATGGGGGTGAAAGGAGACTTTTAAAGTAGCTTATGTGCTTCATAGTATATTGGGCCAGTCTGTAATGAGCATGTTCAAAAATATGTTTTTATTATTATTCTTAAACAGCTCAGGACCTCAATACCTCAATGACTTCCTCTGCCCATATGAACCAACCCAGACCCTGCAATCATCATCTGAGGCCCTTCTTTGTGTTCCAGAAGTCCAGAGGGCAGCAAAATGAGGACATGCCTTTTCTGTGGTGGCTCCCCAATTGTGGAACGCTCTCCCCAGGGAGGTTCAGCCTGACGCCTTCATTGCATATCTTTAGGCACCAGGCAAAAACATTCCTCTTCTCCCATGCCTTAATTAAACAATCTATGGCCTTTTAAACTGGGGGGGGGGGTATTGTTTTTGTTTGTTACTACGTTATATTTTTGTGTTGTAAACCACCCTGCGATCCTCGGGCAGTAGAGAAATTTATTTTTTTAAAAAAAATTCTTAGGGATTGTTCAGATTTCACCTTTTTGTGAACAATGACAATGGCCATACCTAGAAGTGATTGTAAGGACTGCTGTTGGTGCTGGTGGGCTCTTGATACCCTCATGCAACCAAATTAAGTTTCTACAACACCTAAAAATCTATTTCTAAGTTCGTTATTTGGTTGTTGTTTGGTTGACACTGAAATTGAGTACACCCCCAGGCTAAGTAGCACCTTCTGGGTGGCTAGACTGGACACTTCGCTTCATTTGAGCTTATTATTGCCACTGTTTTCAAAACTAAAGAACCTGTTCATCAGTCTTTACCCAATAAGAAGAATTTGGCTGAAAGAATGAATGTATTTTAGGATTTGGTGCCCTGCAGACGCATTCAACTATACCTCACAGAAGACCCAGCCACCATAGCTATGGGATGGGAGCTGTGGTCTAAAATATATGGAGGGCACCAGTTCTACAAAAGGCTATGCTAGAGCTTCTCAGAAATCCTGCATATCCAGTCTGGCTGAGCTAGTAGCAACCTGAAAAGTTGGTGAGGTTTCAAAGCTATCAGCTTATAAGCTTCCTGCAACGTTGACGGCCTAGGCTCACCATGCTTACACCCAACTTTCTCAAACTGCAGCTGCAGATACGTTCCACACACCCTGGTCAGGAAACCCAAAGATTTCCATTAGCCCGATACCCAATTGTGTTGTATAACAGGCTTAGAATGAGTTTGAAATTGTTCTTTACTACTAGCTGTCCAAGGACGCCATTTTGGATCAGCTGGAAAAGGGGAGCAAGATCCAGCAAATCCAGTAATTCAGAAGGAAATATCCAAAGGTAAAAATAATACATTCTAGAACATCTTTAAGCCCTAAGATGTCCACCCAGTTGTGAAAAAAGGCAAACTGAATGGAATGAAAATAAAACTACCAGTATCATAACAATATTATACAAATGGACAGTAAGACTACATTTGGAATACAGCAGACAGTTGTGGCCACCTCACTTCAAAAAGGATATTGTAGAGCTGGGCAAGTTTCAGAAAATAACAACCAAAGTGATCAAAGAGCTGGAGCAAATCCACTTTGAAGATAAGTTAAAACATTCAAGGCTTTTTAGTTTAGAAAAAGTAGAGTGAAGGAGGACACAATAGAGGTTGATAAAACTATGTCTGCTGTAGAGAAAGTGGACAGGGATATCTTTTTTTCAGTCTCTCATAATACTAGAACCTGGGGACATCCAAGGTGACAGTGAATGTTAGAAGGCTCCGGCCTGCCAACAGGATTTATTTGCACAGCACATAGTTAAAACCATGGAGTTTTCTTCCACAAAATATAGTGATGGCCTCTAGCTTGGATGGTTTTAAAAGACGATTAGACAAATTCATGGAGGATATAGCTACTAATCATGATATCTATGTTCTACCTCCACAGTTGAAGGCAGCATGCCAGTCAGTGGGGAAGATCTGCTGCTGCACTGAGAACCTGCTTGTGGAAACCCCACAGGTATCTGGTTAGCCTATCAGAACAGGGTTAGATAAGTCCAGCCAGGCTCTTCTTATGTTGGGAAAAAATGGCTTTCTAGGAAGATTGGAAATTGCCTTTTATCAGACCATCTCCATTTTGTACACACAGTCAGTAGCCTCCAGAATTTTCCTACATGCATATGCTGGGGATTGAACCGAAGCCTTCTGCATGCAAGGCATGTATTCTACACTTTCTCATACTTCTCCTTTCTTCTAGCGCTTCTGAAGAAGCCAGACCTTAACAAATATATAGAGAACTGTTTTCTTCACAGACTTGGTTATGTTTTACAGAACAATCCTATGTGGGGTCATGGCGGAGCAGAGCAGCAGATCCATTGCCACATCCTAGAGCGGTCATGTGGTTGTCCGAGGACACCCCTCTATTTGAGAACCCTCCAGTCCATTTTAGTTCAGACCCCACACCTTTTACAGATGAGGAGCACAACCCATAAATACAAGTTAAAATCAAAAACACTAAAAGCACAGAAAAAGCGTGTGTGAGGGTCACCTCAGGAGGCCAAAGGCATGTCTAAAAAACGAAGGCTTGCAGAAACATGGAATGTGCTCTAATATTAATGATAGCAGAGGAGGCTTTCTTGATACTTCTATCATCCTCATAAGTGCAAGGAATGGCACCCTGAGAGAGGGCTTCTCCTGTGGAACGCCAACCCCAGAGAGGTGCATCTAACACCATCATTCATCTTCTCTCATATGCTGAAGATGCATCTGGTTATCCTGGCCTTTGACAGTTAAGAGGTAGCTTTATGGGATGCACATCATCTGGTTTGTTACTTTTACCTATTCTGTACTGCTTCTGTTTGGAATTCTTTTACTTGATTTAAAAAATAATAATTGTATAAACAGTTTCCCCTGTTGTTTTTAATTGGGTGGTTTTATTGTTGCAACCCACACTTATTCTCACACCTTATGGTGAAGGGCAGGAAAGCAATCTTAGAAATAAATAAGAAGAGATATTTGCTTGCCAACAGAGGTCTGATAAATGGTCCTCTCTCAGAAGGGTGAGGTACATACACTGAGAATGTCCTTTCTCATGTCCCAACTGAACTTGCCTCAGATGTTGGCAGGAAAATTAGCATTGTTTCTGTTGTGCTTTACAAGCATTTATTTAAAACACTTCTGCACTTCTTAACATTATTGAATTTCGAAGAAGTGTACAAAGATAAAATCGAAGGCTAACAAAGCAGGATAGAATTCAATTTCTTCCTTCTCCACAGTGAACTGACCAAATATACAACCCCTCATCAGTGATCAAGGAATGCAAGGTGCTTTATTTGCTATGAATGTGGGAAGACAACTAAACTAGGTAATAATACATGGTTGAAATAATTCCAGGAGTAGGCTGGTACAGAGCAGAAGGGCCTGTTGTTTATACACACTACCCAAGTGGCAATGCTTTTTAACAGAGGATTTGGAAGGAATATGGAATGGATTTGGTTATAAGAAGGATCTGTTTCTGCTGTCTAGGCCCAGGCCAGTGTAAGATCTCCGTTTCAGTGTTAAGGAACAAGCACTGGGTTCTCACTTTTCTGCCAGGCCATTCAGTGTCCAGATGACAGCAATTTGGTTACTGGACAACGAAAATGGATTCTACGCACCCTAACTGTGGCCAAGAGACAGGTACTAATGAACTGGAAGAATAAAGATTTGGTTCTGTTTACTCAATAGATCAACAACATAACCACAGTTGCAACATATGAACGGACTACCGATAGACACAGACTTTGTTTGGATAAACATACTGACATTAAGAATGAATTTTTATAGCATTTAGTGGGTTATTAATAATCATATGTATCAGGACAAAAATAGTACTTATAATAATTATTAATATCAACAAATGACAGCAATTAGGGTATTCGTTAGTGACACAGTACAACATGTGAGGATATTAAATTCCCAAGAGAAGAATTAGCATGGAAACTCTTCAGAGATAAAAAGCATGCAAAGAACTGCTTGCATTTTAACCATGAGTCATCTTTTTTTGTTCAGGCAGAGACATATTTCACCATGTCCTGACAGAAACGGAAAACTGTTCCAGTGTTCCATTCTTATACTGCTCTTTTATATTTGACCCTGTCCAACAACTGCCATCACTCTAGTTAATCCATTTCCAAACATCCCCAAATACCTTACTAATAAGTAACTCTCACATAAACGGAAAATGCAAGCCAATTAATGTACTCATAGCTACAGAGCAATTGAAAAGAAAATATAAATTATATTTCTATATCTCCCTATCCAGTGTGACAAGGAAGTCATTTAGCTGTAGCAGATAAGCACACCCACCCACTCCCAAAGCATTTCTGTGCATGGCTTAATACGGGGTGTTAATTCCCCACAAACAAAAATAACTAGAATTCACAAACAGAATGAAAATTACGCTAGAAATTTGATGACTAACACTTCCCTTAAAAACACGGGAAAATTTACATTGTAATGCAAATGCTGACATCAATATGCTGTAAAGGCTGCGCAGCTGCGTTGGTAATACAATCGCTCCTCTTCTGCCCCCCTAATGAAATTGTACCTTGCTCATTTTTTAACAAAAAATATGTTAAAACACTGACAACGGATTGCCTCCTTCAGCTTCAAAAACGCCGACACACAGCTCCTGAACTCTCCAGCCGGAAGATCTGGGGAACAAGCAAAACAGCCTTTGCACCTGCCAGCACAGACCGTGCCACGCTTTTATTTACAAAAAAAGGAAACCTGCTCGACAGAGGTTGATTTCAAAACAAAGCCAGAAGGGCAAAAGCCCAGTAAGTGGTGTTAATGGAGGGTGTTCTCCTCTTACCTGCAATGCAACATCGTTTAGTTCAACCCCCAAATTCCAGACACCATCCTTTCTTTCCTGCTATGGCTGCAAAGGCAGTGATGTCATATGGAGGAAGCCGTAGCAGTCACGTGACTGCGTGCTCTCTCTATTGGAGAGCTGATTGAGAGGCAGGCGGCAGCCGGCGTCCAATCCTTCAGCATTAAAATCAGCCTGTTGAGAAATTTGCTTCCACCTTCGCAGCTGACACAGCAATTACTTGTGGATTCTTTTTATTTTTTTATTTTGCAGCTATGCTATTAGATGACTATTTCATGCACAGACTTGTTATGTTCTTATTTTGGGGGGGATATGTATATGTGTGTGTGTGTGTATATATATATATGGGGCAGAATGTCGTTGATTTTTAAAAAAAATCTTTTTGAATGAATATTCTGTTTTCACTGGACAAACTATGACACAATCCCGAATAAATTCCACATTTCAATTAATGCAGTTTCTTTTAGTACTTGTGTATAATACTTTAGTACTTGAGTAGTGTGTGTGTGTGTGTGTGTGTGTGTGTGTGTGTAATACACTAATGCAGTTTCTTTTAGTACTTGTGTATTATATATAATAATACACAAGTATTAAAAGAAAGTGCATTAGTTGAAATGTGGACTTTATTCAGGATTGTGACATAGATTGTCCAGTGAAAACAGAGAGAGAAACTGACACAGCTGCAGTTTAGGATGAGAATATTCATTCAACAAGAATAAAATATATATATTTAACGACAATAATAAAAACCCCAGACATTAATGAGAACAAGAGCAGGATTCTTCCCAAACCAGGGAAGGATTTCTATACTGTATAGCATTCGTTTCCTCCTTTTCCCTCAGTGTGCACACAAACACCATACCAGGCTAATATTTTGGAGGCATAGTCTGGGTATGCCTCCCAAGGGCTGCATTTTGCCGCCCCTCCCCTTAAACTGAAATTTCCACTCTGAGGAAAGTCTGAAAGGGATTGCAGGCATGCTTAGGGTGGGGGTGGAAGGGGCAGGCGGGAGGGCCACTTGGTCTGGGCATCAAGCTCAAAGGCGCCTCAAATTCAGACACAAATATTTGGGCACTTGATCGGTTTGGCTTTTTACATGCTTCAAACCCAAATGTAGCATGTGTGCTGAGAGCTGCAAATTTAAGGAGTAAAGAGCTGTGATTAAGTAAAAGGATCTTTCATTTTGCTTAACAGGTACTGATTTTGTCATATTAAAGAGTCAATGTTCATAAATATTAATGAATGAGGGGCTGCCCCCCCCACTAGGCTGGCCCACCTACCCCCCTCGCCAACACACCACTCCTTTTACACCTTGCCAAACCCTCATCCCCTCTCCCTCACCACTTCTTTCATGCCTTCCCAACCCCTCTCCCCTTAACCTTGTCAAACCATACCTTACAGCCCTCTGAAACCACACACCCTTCCCTCAGGCCTTGCCCAAACCACAGGAGTCAATTCCTAGGGGCCAATGGGTCTTCGGCCCCACCAATAAAATATCTGAGGGGGTCAGCCCCCTCCCCAAGTTGATGGACATTGCCATTCAAATGGTGTGTATGTGCTGCATCACATGATTATGCAGGGTAAGGCTTACATGCTCCCCCCCCCCCAATTTTATTCAAGTTGGCACCTCTGGCCCAAACTATGCCCCACTCCTCTTATAACTTGCCAAACCCCCTTCCCCTTACAGTTTGCAAACCCTGCTTTGCTTCCCCTTACCTGCTTGCCCAAACCCATGAGCTGACAGAAGTCAGGACCATTGCACCTTTCCAGCAGCCATCCCGCACTGCTGCCATTTCTTTCTTCCTTGGCCTCTTGACACTGCTGAGGCTCAATCAGTGGGGTCTGTGCCAGATGAGCAGTGGCAACACAGCAGGATAGTTGCTGGGGAGCTGCCCTGCCCTGTCTATTCCTCTGTGGCTCACCTGGGCTGTGCCCCATCTGCGCTGGTCTTCTGGGCCACTTGCTCACTCATCTGCCTGCTTTGCCATCATGCTATAGTTTGCATGGATGCCTAAAGGCAGCATAACATCCTTACAATTTTATTATATAGTTAGAAATGTTCTACTGGAAGATTAGACCATGATGAATACGGTATGTCCCCTCAGATCAACAGATTATACAAACCAACCTCTCATCCTTTATTACGTGCCTTAGTATGTTTTCATGTTTCCACCTTAATTACTCAGAACTATTTGCACCAATGCTTACATCTTTATTTCCAAGTTTGGCATTCCATAAATGGAATCAGGGATGCAGACTCCAAGGGGCTGAACCCCTTTGGGCTCCCTCAATGTTCATCCGTGCTGTACGTGATGTTGTATGCAACACCAAGATACAATGCTTATTGAAGTCCTACTTCAGTTTGGTTATTACATCCATCATGTTACCATTTATTGTTGTTCTAGGTTGCAGCGAGTGAAAAGGAACAACAGAACTTTCAGGACTAATTTCTGGACAAGTTAAATAGAGAGTCAATGTGAGTGCATCAACTTCCACTCTTACAACCATGACATGTAAAACTGATCAGAGTGTAGTGCAACAAATCTGTGCTGTAGTTTCCTTTCAAGGTTATGTAACACGGAATGGAACTGATGGTAATAGTAGTGTGAGCCATTTGCTTTAAACATGCTAAATTCTTCAGCCGCCATCCATCATAAAACAAAGTCTTCCCAATCTTTCCTTTGTGGTGGTGGGGACAGGAACAAAATGAAGATTCGACAAAATTCTATTCTGGAATTCACTACACTGATTCTAGAAGTGTTTCTGCAAAAGTGCCAATGTATATGACATTTAGAGGGTAGCACAAGCAATACCCCAGACTCCCACTTCTGATACGAGAGATCGAACAAGTCATCCTAAAGAAGACAATACATATTAAAAACCAAGATGGGCCATTGATCTGCAAGGAAAATCAGTTGGGTGCCACATGATGGGTAGGTAGAGCCAGAACAGGTTTTTAAATTCTTGTTTTAATGATGGTTTAACTATGACCTGTAAAAAATAGATACACAGAGCACTGTGTTTATGGCAAGTTTTTTAAAAATTTATTTTTCAGAATACTTTTCAAATACAAATGACACAATCCATTCAGAAAGTATGACAAACACAAGAAATGAATACTGGAGAGGATATTACACTTTAACACACTGTAGCAGTATTCATTTTGACAGTCAGAATCTTATCTTCCCTAAAATCTCTGGGCATACTGCACAGCTACCACCACTACAACCCAGCAATATATTTTATCAGGGAGCCTCCAAAACGTTTTCTATTTCACATACAGTGCCTTCCATTTACTCCACATAGGCTTAACGTACGCAAACAAAATACAGTAATTTGTCGTAATAGATGGCAACAAATTTACACTGCCTGCTCTTTGTCACAAACAAGGAGTATACATCACAGGTGATAGAACATGGTCTTCATTTGCAGTGTTTATTTGTCTTCACACTGGGGGTAAAATGGGAAAGCTTTCTTTGTCTACTGCATTTTTCAAGTGCATTGGGAGCTGCTGAATTGTAACCCAAATTAATCACATGTCAGTTTGTAATACGATGGAACAACTCAAGACCACCTCCTGGGTAAGTGCTGGGAAATACTTAATTCCGTGATTTATTCCCCTTTAGAGCTTCTACCCCAGTTCCAAACCATTATTCTTGTTCCTTTGGAATTTTGAGCTCTTTTTTCCAGACAAGAGACCCTTTTCCATCTACCAACATACCAAGCAGAGATTCTATACAGCAACCCATAATGGTAATGCCAAGCATTTCTCATTTCCAACTGAAAAGCTTGAAGCATCCATCAAAATATGATCATACAAAATTCACATTAACAGATGGAGGCTGCAATCCTTTGTACACTTACCTGGGAGTCAGTCCCATTGTACTCAATGAGTCTTACATCTGAGTCGACATACACAAGATTACACTGTTAATCTTTAATCCAGATTTAATGATTTGCACTACATATGGTTTAAAATCTCTCTCAAAACACAAGACTATGTAAAACAATTTAATGGTTAGGTTCTCGTGAGCTTAACACAATGCTTGAGTTCCAAGCTGACTCGTTTTTAGCTTAACAACTTTCTTTGGTATCAGGCTTCCCTAAGGCAATGTATGATTTTTAACTAACACCAAAGTTTGACTTGACAGTGTCCCATATAAAAATGGTGTTCATATACTGAAGTCCCCGAAATATAGGCTCCCATTTTGTGGGACATAATTCTTTGGGTAACTGACGTTGAATACAATAGCATAATAAAGTCATTTTCATACATTTGCAAGACACAAGAAGTGGCACTCTCGGGAATTTAAGGTGACAGTCCATTGTTAACAAAAACTACAAGTTCTCCTAAAGCCCAAGTGACCGTCTTCAAAGCTATAGAACACAAATGAAAAAAGTAATGTTTAACAGGGCAACAAACTGCTTTAGCAGATCTTACCAAATTCAGGAGAACAATCTCAGTTTGATGCAAAAGCTTATGCCATTCAACCACTTTAGCAATGGGATAAGAAAAATGTATTAAACTGTACATGTAATATGAGGTCAGAAGAGATTGCTAGTGCTATGGAGGTCAGGAATGCAACTGAAAATGGTTTTACTCAACAATTTGAATAATTAAAGTGGGGGAGGGAATAGAAATGAACAAAAACAAAGAAAACAAAGAATTAGCACAGATTTGAAATCACACCACAAAATGAACTATCTGGACAGTAGCTTTTTTTGAGGAATATTTCTAATATAGCAGGACAATGCCACATATTTGAATTTTGCATAGCAGCTCATGTGGAAACCTGAAGAATCACTGGTGAAGTCTGCAGCATTCATAGAAAGTGATGGGTGAAAAGAGGTAATGTCTGCTAATAGTTCAGAAACTAAAGAAGTTCCAGGCATGTACACAATTAGGCTTTTTTACTACAAAAGTAGACAAAGCCTTGAGTGAACCATAGGCAAAACTCACATCACTGTTATGATGCTTCCGCAAACATAAGCTGGTATTTGATCAGGTGATCCACGGCACCTCCTCTGTATGTAGCATTAAAACCAGTATGGTGTTAAGTTTTTTTGAGTCACACTTTAAGGTATCATTATAATTAAAGAAAATGA